ACCTTCTCTGGACTTCCACAAATTATTCAAGACACAATTTTTAATTCAAAATTATTATAATTTATTTTATATTTTTTGGTTGGATTTTTTATAAAAGCGTATTTTGTTCGTTTTTTTAAACTATTATTTATTTTCCATTTTTTAGTTGAATTCCAATTTTTTCATTTTTCTTTGAATTATTGAGTTGTCGTCGGTTCTTAATAAGTATATACACCAAATATATATATATATACACCAAATATGTATAAGCTAATACACCAAAAAATACTGTCGAATTGAGAACCACTCTTTTGTTTGAAGTCGATTGACACTTCGACCTTAAGTCTTGAAATGGGCAGCAGCATTCACAATGTGTTCACTATCGACCCCGTAACAGCAGATGACCCCGCAAGCTCGTTGACCTATCTTTGCAATTATAAAACTGTGGCCTAATTTCGTTAAATATAAAGATAAAAACTAATTATTCGTTTGTATATATAACAATAAAAAAAAGCATATCATATCGGAACCCGATATAAGGTTTTATTCAATGGACTTTGGAACTTATTTCCGATGAACACGAGAAAAACATCGTAAACACATTCTAACTAATTAAAATCGATTCTGTCCATCGAGTCAATATGTTAGTATTATTCTGTCAAGTGCATGTCAAATGTAACTAATCTCTGACGTCAAGGGGGGTTATCGAGATTGAACCACGGAACTTACTGATCAAATAGGTCGCTTGTAAATAGATGCTGCTATGCCTTGTCTGTAGAGTAACCATGCGTTTTTTTTTATTGCTTGGATGGACGAGCTCACAGCCCACCTGGTGTTAAGTGGTTATTGGAGCCCATAGACAAGTTTAGTTACAACGGCTGCCCCACCCTTCAAACCGAAACGCATTACTGCTTAAGGCAGAAATAGGCGGGGTGGTGGTACCTACCCGTGCGGACTCACAAGAGGTAACTATAATTGAGACCTTAGAACTTATATCTCAAGGTGGGTGGCGCATTTACGTTGTTGATTTCTATGGGCTCCAGTAACCACTTAACACCAGGTGGGCTGTGAGCTCGTCCACTCATCTAAGCAATAAAAAAAAAAATGTCCTACCACCAGTAAACAATTCAATTGCAAAAATCGCGAAGAGCGACAAGTTTTACCACTGAACCTGACCTACGCATAAAAAATATAAAAAGCCACGATAAGCGGACCGAATCAGTCTTCGTTCTTTTTTGAAATGAAACTTTATTAGGCGCGTTGAGAGTAAAATTTAACTCGCGACAGATTCGTTACGGCTAGAGAGAAAAGATACAATTTAGGAAGAGCGAGAGCGAGAAAATAGAACCGTGGAGAGAGGGAAGGGACAAAGCGAGTTAGGTCGTTTCTTTTATAAACAGCATTTCCCATTACAAGAAAAATTTGATTTAAGGATGAAACATGAAGAAAACCACAATACTACACGCCGCAAAAGAAGTTTCACTTCTTTCACGTGCACAATGTTGCACGCGCACCATTTTTTTGCGTCGGCAAACAGCATTTGTTTAATTGTTTAAAACTAGACCTTTCGTAACTTTAACGGCATTAAAGTAATAATAAAGCAGCTTAATGAGCCAGAAATATTCCCTTGAATTCCAAAAAGTATTGTGTGCGTGTAAATATTGTTTTGTCTCTGGTCTCGATACTAGTTTAAAAAAATGGAAAAGTTGTATTCGTGTGATCGAATTAGAAAGTGCCCTAGACAAGTTCTCACGGATCCATCAGATCTATTAACTCTAGCATTAGACGCCTTCAGCTCTAGCACTAAGAGCAGGATTAGGGACCCTGGTAGTCATATTCTTTAAGCTCGGCAAAGATTTCGACACAACCTAACCCAATAACCCATACATCAGCCCGCTGAGTCTCTCGCCGGATCTTCTTAGCGGTGGCTATTCCGATCCGGTAGTAGATAGTCTTCTCCGGATGCGCTCGGACAGCTATTAGAAAATCCTATCCCTCCCGGTTGAGCCTATGCTCGCCCACCTTTCCTGATGAAACTGGAAAGACGTCCGAGGCACTAGTAATTCTTCCTTTCTTAAAAAAACGATCACGCAAAACGAACAAGCCGACAACTTCGGCGCTCGGGAGTCTTTAGGATGGCCGTGTATTGATTGCGGTCGCCCCACCTTTTTTCCCGGGCGGTGTTCGTATGGTCGCGTCAGAAGTGTTGGCGAAACGTTTAGTGGATCGCTTCGGCAGTTTCACGTATATAATAATCTATATATTAATACGTGAACCAAAAACTTTGTATCCCTTTTTACGAAAATTGCCTGGACGGAGGAGTATGAAATTTTCCACACTTATAGAGAATATAGAGAAGAAGTGCACAATACTAATATTTTTTTAAAATAATTCATAAAAGATACATTAAATCAATAAAGAAAACATTACACAACCATGTATTTGACGCACACACGCATGCATACTATAGGTATTTATTGTCAAACTTTTGTTCTTGACGTCGTTGTCAAATTGAGAATAGATCAAATATTGTTTGTCGTTGTTAATATTTTTTATAGCGTAGTCTTGGCGAAATGTGTGATTATAGAAGTATAAAATACAATCATAATAGTGTACAAATTTACAATTCCAATTAATTATAGTCGAATTTCGACTACTGCGGGGCCTCTAGTGAACCTTTATTATGTGTTTATTGTTTGGATAAAAATAAGCGAAGGGGTAGTCACAAATGACATTGTGCGTTGTGATTGGTGTTTAGCTTGTCGTAATAAATTGATAGAACGAATAAATTTCATTTAGTAACTTCATTTGCAAATCATATCTCACAAAATTGATGAACCGTTTTCATTTAACCCAATAAGCATTATACTTAATTAGTTTCTAGTGTTGTTTTATTATCGGCGTCCGGTTTCCTTTTATGGTGACCCTACTAATTATCGAGTTAATATTGAATGAGTTATATATTTTATTAGCTGCCTTGCAATTTCAGTAAACATGTGGCACCGATCAACATCGTGATCGTTTTGTGTGTTAGTGTTTATATTCAGATTAGTTATAATTATCATAATATCGAAAATGTATTATCGGCCTTTATACTGTTTAGCTTAACTCTTCCCGAAATTTCTAAGTCAGGCGGCAATCCATATTAAAGAATGTATACTTTCTGAAACTTCTACGTTATACATCAACATGCGAGCCCTGTGATCGCCCATTGCTGAATACTCAAAAAAATACTAGAAAAGAGATCTCTTGTGTATACTTAATTCGCTCTTTATGTTTTAATATATAATAATATATCAGTCGTAATATTACCTAACGTTACAAGCCGCCTTTAATCAACTAATCTCGATGGTAATTTTAAATTCGTTTTGACTATTTTTTTGTAGATCCAACAAAAATCGATGAATAATCTTATGAAATTATTGTATAAAAATCAATAATAAATATAAAAAATTTAATATATAATATACCAGTTGTCACCCGTGGCTTCGTTTCCGTAGTCCAAGAGAAATGTCAATTATTTTTTTCTAAATATAAAAAAGTACCTAACTAAAAGGACGGGAAGGACGCATTACATGGGTTCGAACAAACGTGTGAGGCCGAAGACTCGTATTCCCTGCAATAACGGTTGGCGTAATCTTTGAAGCGGAAAGCATGACTGCTTTGCGAAATACCGTGAATTCCTTAGTAAAACGATCGCTGTACGTCAAACACGAAAATCTATTAAATGCGTAATGTAAATGTATCGAGTTCTCGATACGAAAACGGATTACGTTAGAAGGTATTACTCGACAGCCAGCCTTCGAGTTTTACGTTACCGTATGTGAAAACGATTTTCGTGCTCTCGATTATGAGTTTTTTTTTTATAGCTTAGATGGGTGGACGAGCTCACAGCCCACCTGGTGTTAAGTTGTTACTGGAGCCCATAGACATCTACGACGTAAATGCGCCACCCACCTTGAAATATAAGTTCTAAGGTCTCAAGTATAGTTACAACGGTTGCCCCACGCTTCAAACCGAAACGCATTATTGCTTCACGGCAGAAATAAGCGGGGTGGTGGTACCCACCCGCGCGGACTCACAAGAGATCCTACCACCAGTAAAGAAGTACCAGAGTATAAGTTTCGAGTTTCGAGAACGCGACTATTCGATTGCGAAACGAAAGTAAGTAAATTCATTCGTGCTGCTGAAATTAATTTTTTTTACGGACCGTTTAAGTCCTATACATTTTTTCGCGATACGAACAGTTTTTCGATAGTCATTCGTGCTCACCCCTCACTCAGTACTCGTATCGTGCGATGCGACAATGCGCGTTCAAATCCCTCAAGCCGATACCAAATTTCCAAATGAAATACGTACTAAACTCATCTCCACGAATGACTTCCACGATGAACCGAATAAAAATCAAACCAGCCCAAAAATATAAATTGCTTAATTACTGGCGTATTGTAAGCCCACATAAAAAAGTACCACAACGTTGTCTACGCCCGTGAATTAATCATGCGGTTCCAAAGGTGGGACAGTCTCTATTCAATTGTGACTTGGCCTTGTGTGTCAAGGTGGGTCGCGATATTCACACTGTTATGTCTATAGCAGCCTTTCCTAAAGTGGGCGTTAACAACCCTATGTGGGCGCTGTAGGCCTAAAGAGACCCAGAAAAAAATGGGGACGTTGTGTAGAGGTTTGGGAGGCGATTTGCAATTTCATCTAGGAGGACTCTTAGACACCGACTGAGCTCTCGCTATAGAGGTTTTTAAGTAGGTGAAAAAATGGAGATGCTAAAAAATAATTACTCCCAAAGTGGGCAGTAGACAAAATAAGTTTGGGAACTCTCGGTCTATAGGTTCTTATAGCCTCTAGACACCGGATGGGCCATGAACCTGTCTCTGCAGAAATATTCTGATTTCGATCACAAATATCAAAGTCGTTGGGCATAAAGCCGTATGCTAAAATTTTTTAGAAATACTTAAAGAGCCGCCCAAAATTCTAAACACAGCTTACAGCTTCTTTTTTTCTTGCAGGCTCGAAGCAAATTCTGCATGGTGTGAACGGACGACTCCGGCCTAAGCAACTGGTTGCGATCATGGGTCCCTCCGGTGCTGGTAAATCGACTCTTCTGGATGTTCTATCCGGATATCGTATCACGGGCGTCGGCGGGGTTGTCCACGTGAACGGAAGAGGCAGGAACATGAGTACGTATATCTTAGAGTTAATTTAATCATTTAATTAAAGATGGAATCAACTGTCTGCCGAATTGGTTCTCAAATAGATACGTGTGCGGTTTTTTGTCGTCGCCTTTTTTCGAGATATAGATTTATAGGCTATATCAGCTCTAGTTCTAGCTTTAGTGAGGAGTCGGTTGATCGTTTGAATGAACTAAGCCCTGCCCAACTTTTTCTCTTAAATTTCTTGAGGTTGCATTTTAGTTGAATCGTAGGATGTTAGTATTGTGAGATGTAGAAATGACCACACTTTTAATTTCTTCTTCGAGACTGTCTTTCTTTCGGGACATTCGTTATAAGGAAAATGATGTTTCGACCTCATCCAGCATGGCGTGGTGGTGTACCGATAACTACGATAGAACAGCGGCAATCCGACAAAAATCTCAAACGAGTTTTTTGTTATGATATTTTTTCCAATCCTGTAAAGTTGCAAAAAGTTCGCTTAAACCAAATTTCAATTCAATTCACCACAATTCACCCCTCGATATATTTAATTATACATAAATAATAGTCCAAAGTCAAATGGCAGCAGAGATATGTTTGTTTAGTAATGCAACTGCACTAACAAATCATTCGGCGATGTAGCCGTGGCCTCGCGGGACTTGTGCTTGAGGACTGACTAGAGGCTATCATACTATCATCTACATAACACCGGATATCGATGTCACAACAAATATATGACCGTGATTGATCACCGCGTTACATTACAGCGGGAAACATGATTTACCGTGTTTTGCCAATCACTCGATGATACGCGGGACTGTTTGTTTGTAAAACATAATTTATAATGCAAATATTTTTTGGTATTCTAATGAACAATTGTTGCTAGATCACAATTCGTGTTTTGTATGAACAGATGTTCCATAAATGCTATTGTGGACTATAAAGAAAAATTACGAAACATAATATTAAACTTATTTTAAATGAGGTTTTAAAAAAGACTTAGCTATTCTTACGATCAGGTAGATCGTAGGATACAGAAAGACAATAATGTTCAAAGCTATGTTATATGAAGAAACTATAATAAAAATCGGGTATTTCTTGCATGATACTCTTCACATAAGCGTAATTTACATTTTGCTATTACATAAATGCACAGTTCACACAGTTTGATTGATGCGTAACAAGATTGTCAGTGATTTATTTCGAGTGAATGTGTTGTAATTGTCACTTTTATCGAAATGATGACTTTAAGTTGCTTGTTAATGTTGCATTGGATAGTCATACGCTTTTATATTTCTTGTAAATAAACACACAAATGGATAAAGGATAAGACGCTACATGTACCCATATCGAGCGATGCGTCTGTGAGTATTCAAATATCGAAGGAGGGTATCAATTTTCCGAACTAAACACGTCCTTACAGCATGCATATATTCACGAATTACCACCAAGATGAAGGAATAAAATCGTGTAAAAAACAAGAAAAAAATTGCGTAGTTATAAACGGACTTTATTAATATATACATTTTTTTCTTTTTATTTTAATAAAAATATTTTTAATAGTACTAATTAATATCATATCAATAAATATAAATGTTGTATTTACTTTTTTAAACAGTAATGAATTGAATAAACGGTTTCTTAATCAGAGTCCTCTTAATTCAGACTTACCCTTAGTCTCTCGTAGGAATTATAGAGCAGTCATTTCTAAGTTTATGTTCATTTAGTCTGTGCATTAGTACTTTGGAAACCTTATCGACTGTTATGTTAACAGCTGCATCAAATCCAAGAGATGACGTTAGGTTAAGACCTTAATATTGGCGTGGGTGATGATATTTTTTCCACTTCTGCTTATGCCACCAGTACACTTTTTTATTCATAGATGAGTAGACGAGCTCACAGCCCACTCGGTGTTAAGTTGTTACCGGAGCCCATAGACATCTACAACGTAAATGCCGCCACCCACCTTGAGTTCTAAAGTCTGAGTATAGTTACAACGGCTTGCCTACCCTTCAAACCGAAACGCATTACTGCTTCACAGCAGAAATAGGCAGGCCATGAGACATGCTCATAGAAAAAAAGTCACAGTAAGAATTCCCACAAACAAATTATGTCTAGGATCAATAATGCCAACGAAGTTTGGTGATTTCAGAAAGATTCAAGAAGATGTCGTGTTACATACAGCAAGACGACCGCCTGCAGGGACTACTGACTGTCTCAGAGAACATGGTATTGGCTTCCGATCTTAAGCTCTCCATCAAAATGGACAAATACGAAAAAGGAGAAGTGGTGAGTGTGGCACACTAGTGTTTTTTAGCTGGTATCGATAGAGTTCTCCGTTTATTTATTGCTGCATCTATTTTGACATTTAACTGGTGTTAGGACTTCTTGTGAGTCCGCACGGGTAGGTACCACCACCCTGCCTATTTCTGCCGTGAAACAGTAATGCGTTTCGGTCTTAAGACCTGAGAACTTATATCTCAAGGTGGGTGGCCCATTTACATTGTAGATGTCTATGGGCTCCAATAACCACTTAACATCAGGTGGGCTGTGAGCTTGTTCACCCATCTAAGCAATAAAAAAAATGTACAACGGGTGCATTCAAAGTGCCAAAGCTGGTGTACCTCAGCAGGACTGCGCCTGTGTGCAATGCACACCCTGCACTATAGAAAAAGCCGCCTCTGAACTAATATAATACATAAATGCGGTAATTAATATAATAAGTAAATGCTTATAAATGCAATAAGAAAACATGCGTTATACAGGATGCACTGACGTTACCATATCAAATGCAGTGGGGTCTTTAGACCAAGGCCACATTTATTCTTAACAAACAACATGTTAATTAAAATACCTAAGCAATTCACTCGGTACAAAGGGCGTTTACGGACCGATCATTAGGAGGACCGCTTTATCTGTTTATATTAATGTATCAATTAACTGTTAACGAACGCACGGTATGTCAAAACATGGTATTGCATTATCTGTTGTGTGAGATGAAGATTTATTGTCAAAACATGATAAGGACGCGATTTTTGCTTTTGATGCCTTAACCCTTTGAGGTCCTAAGACTAATGTGATGTAAGACTATATGTCCAATACGTTTAGACACTGGACCTCGAAGGATTAAATTGTATTTGGACGATTTGTTTTCCTTTGTTGCACACATCAACCATCTAAACAGAGCATGAAAAAGCGTCTTTTTATTGATGTAAAAGGGCACACGTCAAAGGGTCCACAACCCGTGCAATTGGTTAACGGAGTTATAGATAATAAAACATGTATGCACTGGAGAACGGGCAATAGTAATAATCTTAATATTAAGAATTATAAAATAATATCCACTGTTTTTTCGTACCTGATCGCTGGTAGCCTAAGGATTCAAGATAGACGCCGACGGGTAGATGAGCCTGGAAGGTCAACCTGAGAAAATTTGCTAAAACCTCTCCTAGCCGTAGCAAGAGAAATGCTTCACAGTAACTACCACCGGATCGGAATCGCAACGTACTGAGAAGATCCGGCAATAAACTCAGTGGGTAATATCTATTTAATAAGCCCGTTGAGTTTCTCGCCAGATCTTCTCAGCGGATCACGACTCCGATCCCATATTAGATTCATTCGCGAAGTAGCCACTCTTGAGTTGCTAAGTCTTCTTCCGAGGCGCTCGGGCAGAAGTGAGTAAATCCTCCTGGCCAAGGCCGTGCTCGCCCACCTATCCTGGTGAAACTGGACAGGCCTTCGAGCCAGCAGTAATGCTACTTGCCCTTCCAAAAAAAATCAATTTTATAAATCCTCTGACCTATCTAATTTATTTTATAAATCTGAACCTATAATAGAATTCCTTGTAATATAGGAACCAGAGACTGATAATACATACAGAGCAAACAAAATTTTTCTTCATACGAAATCCGAACCAACGATCCTCGCTCGATACTGGAGTCGCCACTTGCCTGTCTCTTAGTAGTAGTATGTGGCAAGCCCAGTCCAAAAGCTACCACCAAGCTGCCCGATTTGCTTAAAGGGGTACTCATGTAGATTCTCAGAGATTCCTGTATTACTTTTTCAGTTTCATTATCTTTCTCAACTTCCTCACCGTAAGAACGTTAACGTCTTTAACAGTGCTAAATCTCACACTCCGGTATTATTGTTAATAATATTATTATTGTTAATATTTCATTACAGTTTAAAAAAAATACCCATTCCATTTTGTTAGTAAGTCTTACTTATAATCTATGTTAGTAACTTAAAAACCTAACACATAACTATCAGCCTGTCCATTAATTTTTTCCTTCCAAGTGCCTGCTGCAAAGCTTATTAATTAATAGCCTTAATGATATCGTACCTTAACCATATTCAGAAGATGTGATATATGTAATGTACCTGAAAAGGCGCACAAAATTTTTTATCAAGACGTAATTTTTTGTGATATTATATTCAGAAGACATGACATATGTAATAATGTACCTAAAAAGGCGCATAAAAATTTTGTTCAAGACGTAATTATTTTGAAAAATTTGACGTAAATGTGTCTTTGTCTTTTATATCTCGATGCCTCCAATGAACACTACTCTAACCCCAAATTCGTAGGTTTACAAGAGGAGAGTTTAAACGAAAAAAGTTGATAAATATATCTGCAATAATAAAGATTTTATGGTTTTTTCTTGTGTAACTAGTTGATTTACTCTTGCTTCGAACCCCATTAATAATTAATTTGTAATACTTTTAAAATAGTGAAACGATTTGCGTGAAAAACGATAATTTCAAAATTTTGAGTCAGAGTAGTGTTCATTGGAGGCATCGATCTGTACTTACCGGAACTCATTAGCGCACGATCACTTTGCGTTAACTGTGCCCTTCATCGTTCTACGTTATTTGTAAACAAACAAATTTAATTCGATAAATATGTACGTGTGTAATCATTATATGTACGTCAACTGTTTGAACAACAAACATCATGATCATGGATTTGTTTTTTTGTTTTTCCCTGCTGTTATTGTTAATTTTTGCTTAAAATATTTTTAAGTTAAACGAAAAAAGCTGTGTAATTCTTATTAATGATTAAATTTTGTAATTTATGTAATTTAATTCGTTGGCATTTTAGGCGTAGCACGAACAACGTTAAGATGATTTCTAAAATTGGAATTTCTATTAGAACATTAAGACATTATGGTCTAAGAGCCGGTGGGAGATCGACCTTCACCGATCTCATAACCAGATGAGATGTATTTTTTATCAAATATAATTTATAAACAATTATGCCTATAATTACTTGCCTATCTAAAAGTGCTTATGGCTATTTTTAATTTAATTTTTTTATTATTAATTTTAATTAAATTTAAAATTCATTTGGTTGTCAAAAGAATGAGAGTGATGAAAAAAATCGATTAAAGTTAATTTAATTAAAAATAGCCATGAGCATTTTTAGATAAGCAAGTAATTATAGGCATATTTGTTTATAAAATATATTTGATAAAAAAAAAGTTTCATCTGGTTATCACATCGGTGAAGGTCGATCTCCCACGTCTCCTCTACTTTGTGTTGCCTCTAGTATAAAAACCAAATATTTTGTTGTCAATATAATTATATTGACAACAATATATCCATCTATGTATATTTGTATAGCCCTCAAACTAACTTCCCTTAAAAGGGAAGTTAGTTTGAGTTTAAAAAACCTAGGGTCTTGAGAAAAGGCGAAGCCGTATGTATTACTTACTGTCAGCTGTCCCTGGTTAAAGTTGCCGTTTCAAAATATTTCAATTAGTTTTCATAATAACAAGTGGCGTTTATATTCTTAAATATTAAATATATTATGGTTTAATTAATTTTAAATGTCTTCCGTTCACGTTAAAGCAATAATTTGTTACCAAACACCAGTTGGGAAAAAAAACTTACATGATTTTAGACGCACTGAGATAAAGCTTGGATTTATTTCATTAATTTCAATCGGATACGTCACTATGAAGACTAAAATAAACAGGAAATTGATTAATAATTTGACATTTAAGAAATACTATCGTTAAATAAGTAACAATATGCCGAATTTATTAATTGATGTATTAACTAGTCGCATTGTAATCTCGCACACATGGATTTGACGGATGGATACATATGGTTCCCGAAAAGGCGCACTAAAATCATGTTTTAGCATTATCTGTTATGTGAAATGACGATTTATTGTCAAAACATGTTAAGGACGCGATTTTTGCTTTTGATGCCTTAACCCTTTGCGGTCCTAAGACTAATGTAATGTAAGACTGTATTATTATGTCGTAATACGTTCGGAAACTGGACCTCAAAGGGTTAAATTGTATTCGCGCGATTTGTCTTCCTTTGTTGCACTCACCAACCATATAGACTGAATATGAAAGAGCGTCGTTTTATTGATATTAAATAGGCCAACGGGTCTATGACCCGTGCAATTGGTTAACGGTGTACATAATTATTATTGAAAATTATTACATTAAGATAGTGTGATAAGATAGAAATTGGAATAGACTGCAATTTTTCGTAAAACAGGGCAGTTACCGTTTGACGTTTTGCTACGTAAATCTTATTTATTATAGACTAGCTGACCCGGCAGACTTCGTAGTGCCTCAATCGATAGTTTTGAAGATCTAAGCTTTTGTATAAAATAAACTTAAAACAAACAAAAGGAATCCGTCCGACGCGACGGGGGACACTTCAAAGGGAAAACAAAATTGTTATTTTTATTTACTTCCGAGCATTTTCATATTAAACCTTCTCTGGACTTCCACAAATAATTCAAGACCAAAATTAGCCAAATGGGTCCAACCGTTCTCGAGTTTTAGCGAGACTAACGAACAGTAATTCATTTTTATAACTAGTCAGGTCATAAGTATTGTCACACAGTAAAAACTTTTCTTTTAGAATGCTGGCCACAAAAAAGTTTATTGAATTCGAATTTCGAATTGTTCATGAAAATAAAAAAGTATACTTTTAGAATTTTACTCATTTTTAAATATGGAGTGGACGCTTAAAGAAGACCGTGTTGCAGTTATTGCGTTGCATCGTTGCGGTTACGCGCCAATTCAAATTTTTAACATACTGAAAAATTTGAATATAACCAAAAGATTCGTTTATCGTACCATCAAACGATACAATGAAGACTCTAGTGTAGATGACAGGTCAAGAAGTNGCTTAAAGAAGACCGTGTTGCAGTTATTGCGTTGCATCGTTGCGGTTACGCGCCAATTCAAATTTTTAACATACTGAAAAATTTGAATATAACCAAAAGATTCGTTTATCGTACCATCAAACGATACAATGAAGACTCTAGTGTAGATGACAGGTCAAGAAGTGGTCGCCCTCGGTCTGTTAGGACTCCAGCAGCGATAATAGCTGTGAAGGCGCGAATTCAAAGAAATCCCAAACGTAAGCAGAAACTGTTGGCCCTTCAGATGGGGTTAAGCAGAACCACGGTGAAAAGGGTGTTAAATGAAGACTTAGGGCTTCGGGCATATCGAAGAAAAAGAGGACATCGTTTGAATGCTCGTCTAATGGACCTGAGACTGAAGAGATGCTTTGTTGAAGCGGTACGCTGGAAAAAAATATCGGGAAATTCTTTTTTCGGATGAAAAAATTTTTACCGTAGAAGAGAGCTACAACAAACAATATGATAAGGTGTACGCACACAGTAGTGAAGAAGCGAGCAACCGTATTCCGCGTGTCCAACGAGGTCATTTTCCATCCTCGCTCATGGTATGATTGGGAGTTTCTTATTGGGGCTTAACAGAGGTACATTTTTGTGAGAAACGTGTAAAAACGCATGCAGTTGTGTATCAAAATACAGTCCTGACGAACCTTGTGGAACCTGTTTCTCATACCATATTCAATAACAGGCACTGGGTATTCCAACAAGATTCGGCGCCAGCTCACAGAGCGAAGAGCACACAAGACTGGCTGGCGGCGCGTGAAATCGACTTCATCCGGCACGAAGACTGGCCCTCCTCCAGTCCAGATTTGAATCCGTTAGATTACAAGATATGGCAACACTTGGAGGAAAAGGCGTGCTCAAAGCCTCATCCCAATTTGGAGTCACTCAAGACATCCCTGATTAAGGCAGCCGCCGATATTGACATGGACCTCGTTCGTGCTGCGATAGACGACTGGACGCGCAGATTGAAGGCCTGTATTCAAAATCACGGAGGTCGTTTTGAATAAACTTTAGTGTCATAAGAATCTATGTTTTGTTAAGTTCATTTTGGTATATGAATGGTTACATAATGAATAAACTTGTTTCAATTATTTTACATTAAACATGTGACAGAATTTATGACCTGACTAGGTATATATATAGATCTGTGATCAACTGAAAAGTTTATCTTTCGGTTAAGAATGGAATTGTACTGGTGGTAGGACCTCTTGTGAGTCCGCACGGGTAGGTACCACCGCCCCGCCTATTTCTGGCGTGAAGCAGTAATGCGTTTCGGTTCGAAGGGTGGGGTAGCTGTTGTAACTATACTGAGACCTTAGAACTTATATCTCGAGGTGGGTGGCGCATTTACGTTGTAGATGTCTATGGGCTCCAGTAACCACTTAACACCAGGTGGGCTGTGAGCTCGTCCATCCATCAACGCAATAAAAATAAAAAAACCCACAGAAAGACCCGGCGAGAAACTCATTAGGCCTTCCGTTCTCAAGTATATAATACTGTAATAAAAAAATGTGTGCGTGTACTAGTGTACACACGTAAGAAGTGAAACTTATTTATGGCCTTATTTTTCGAAAAATGATCTACATGCAACTTTCTAGAAATTGGTTAAATAAAGTTAAATTAGATAAAGTTTAAACAAAAGGATTTTATTATCATAGACATGAATACAAAAAAGTTAAATTAGATAAAGTTTAAACAAAAGGATTTTATTATCATAGACATGAATACAAAAAAGTTAAATTAGATAAAGTTTAAACAAAAGGATTTTATTATCATAGACATGAATACAAAACAGATGGCGCGTAACGGAAAAATGTGACGCGTAACCGAAAAACGTGACGGTAAATTTTTTTCCAACGCCGATAAGGAAGTTTCACTTCAAAAAATAGGATCCCGATCATAAGTAACTATAAACCACATCATTATAAAATAGGCCACACGTTATTCCCAATACGCCCAGTGGAGTAAACTAAAAGAAGATCAATAACAACACAACATTTTATGAATTCGTTTGATATTATGTTTACCACAAAACTATAATAACCTGTCGAGTATCCTCGTATTCCGATAGCAGTGCAAGGTTACGTCAGTACAGGTTAGACAAGTTTGAACTCGGTAAAAAACTGCAACGTTATGTTTTAACTAGCTAATATTTAGCTCAGTAGCTACAGTAGTTTGTTTGTTTTTTATATCAATCCTAAACTGGAATAGCGTATTACGAAATTCTGGCTTTTTTTTTCCAAGAATAGCGTACCAAACATGCTTCGAAAACTTGAATAGGAATAAAGGAACATTTTATAAGAACTTGATATTTTAACATTCGCTTTATTTGTTTTATATGTTCGCCATTATTTTTTTTGGAACGAAGCTCCTTACGGCAGGCTTGGAGGGGATAGGGATTTTGCTGCGCGACCGAACTGAAAAAAATGTGATAGTAAAACCGTAAGAAAAAGTGCGTGGAATAAAACCGTTAAATGAGACGTGCGCAGGCGCGACAGTCGCATACACAAGCGAGTAGTGTATAATACCTTTCTCTTTCTCCTTTTTTTTATTATTATTCATATAAATAGCTGTTTCTTGGTATATTAATATTATATATTTTACAGTAACCGCAACACTGTGAAGAATCCAAACACCTTATTTATTTTCGAGACTTGGAGATTACGGAAATTGCTATATTATATTATTACTTGAGAGAGCATCGTATAAATTAGCATTTGGGACTTCTATTATAAACCAAAGAGATATAGTGATAGTGGAACACAATTACCGCCTTCTAATTAATAGCCATCAATTCGCCCAGACAGCAAACGATTATCGCGCTAGATCCTATGGTTATTTTTTTTTTAATAATCCTATGAATAATTTTGTGGTTTTAATTTTGTTTTACAGATCGAAGACATATTAACTGCACTAGGTCTGTACGAGCATATGAGCACACGTGCGTCCCGCCTCTCGGGTGGACAGAAGAAGAGGCTCTCCATCGCTCTGGAGCTGATCAACAATCCCCTCGTTATGTTCCTCGACGAACCAACAACGTAAGTACTAAGATCACTGTATTTTTTTATTGCTTGAGCTAGTCCCATATCGAGGGTGGTAAGGGGAGGCATCATGCCCCGGGCGCTACCCGCAAAGATACGCCAGACGGTCCTCAAAACTGATTTTTTTTTTTATTATTGATCTTAGGAAAATATATTTCTAATTTAGTTAGCCTGTGTAATATAATAAATGTTAATTCGTAAATAAAAAGGAACAAAATGGGGGGTGGACGCTAAATAGGTATTGCGCTCCGGACATTAGTTCGAGATCTCAGCCACATTAGGCCAATATCTATTTAATGTCTCGCCCGTGAAGCGAAATTAATTTCCCAATCATATTTTTCGTACAAAACACGCTCTGCATCAATAATAATGCAAAATAGGAACCATCTTTAGAAACTTCCAGAAGAGAAATAAATCGTAAAAACGTTTTAATCTAGTGATAAAAAACTCAGAAAATTCTTCACTCGTTATTTTTCTCAACAGTGGTCTGGACAGCTCCTCGTGTAGTCAAGTAGTCAAGCTCTGCAGGGATCTGGCGCAGCAGGGTCGTACCATAGTCTGTACGGTACATCAACCCTCAGCGTCACTGTTTGCGCTATTCGATCAAGTATACGTTTTAGCTGCAGGAAATTGCCTCTACCAGGGCACCACAAAGAACTTAGTACCATACTTGGAGGGGGCCGGAGTACCGTGTCCTATATACCACAACCCAGCTGATTACAGTGAGTCAGTTATTGTTTTGTGACTTCCGCTCGGTCATAACAAATTTCGTTCATTATTTTTGAACGTTTGGGGCTGAATCTCTAATTACCCCTTCACCTATTGTTTTAATCATATCACATTAAGATTGCTTTGGATCACAATTTTGTTTACGTCCTATCATAGTCCCTAGATTAGTAATAAGATATTAGAAATGACGTCTTGTAAATCAATTAATAACAACATGTTGCAACACATCGACACCGGATTTGTTAAGTCTTTTCGCGGCCTAGTTTGTAGACAATCTGATTCAATTCCTTATCTCGTAGTTGTTTTCGTTTTTTTACAACGCAAATTTTATATTATTTTGGATTTAAAAAGCTATTCAACTAATTCAATTCCAATTCGATTTAAATAGTTATCGAATTGGCTTGCGGAGAATACGGTGAAGACAAGATCCAAATCTTAACGACAAAAGCTGAGAACGGACGCGCACTTTCCTGGTTCGATGATCCTGACTCCATGCCCACTATGGAAATCTTAAGAAAGCAGTGTCCTCTTAGCGTCTTAAAGGAGCAAGACCCTAGTACTGGCAACGAAGAAACTCCTAGATCCAATCAAAGAAAAGTACTTATTAAAAGAGGATTCTTAAAAGCAAAACGCGACTCCGTAAGTATTATTTTATATATTTTAATTAATTGAAATAGTCACAAGTAATTATTTACACTATCTCTGACAATTGCTTTAGTGATACATGATTGATGGCCTTTCATGTTAAAAGCATTGGATTATGGCCTTAAAATTACGTAAATAATCTTCGATATCTGTTTATCATCTTGTATACTATTCTACTTCATTGATTCGTATTTAATATTAATTATAACATATTTAATGTTAACTATGAGTTTAACAGTTAATTAAGATGTGTAACTAATGATCAACCGTGATAAAGATAGTAAAATTTAAAGTTATCCTTAATACTGTGTAAATATTATAAATACGAAAATACATATTTTTGGATTCAAAAGCAGACGAGTAAATTCTGGTGAGTGGTCATCGTCGTCACTAGACAGCACTAATTCAAGGAACATAACCAAGCTTCTTTAAAAACTCGTTTAGTTATCAACAATTGGCTGTTTTGTAGGATATTTTCTCAATCTGGGTATTTCAATATTATTTATCAATGATATGATGATATGTTATAAACAGATGGCAAGCTGAAAATGTACACATAAAAATGTCAAGATCAATGATACACAATGAAATATATTCTGTGTTTACATTCCTTTAACAAAAATGTTATACTCTTCTAAAGTTTGAATAAACATATAAATAACTAGCGACCCGCCCTCGCTTCGCTTCGGAAACATTAAAACACACATGAAAACAAAAAAAAAAAAAATTGCCTATGTTCATCAGGGACAATGTCGGCTTCTAATGGAAAAAGAATTTTTCAAATCGGTCCAGTAGTTTCGGAGCCTATTCGAAACAAACAAACAAACAAATCTTTCCTGTTTATAATATTAGTATAGATTTGTCTGTTACTGTGGGTACCTGCTATAGGATCAGAGTAAATATGATCAGGGGAGACCTACTTAATATTACTGTGACTGAGTGTCCAGCGTGAGATGACCTTATTATGATGACGATCATGATGATGATAAAGGAAATTTATTTTTTACTTGATTAGGTGCATGTTACGCGTTAACAGAATCCATAGCCATCACAACGTGAATACCATTATTACTCTTCAGATAAAGATTACGTTGTATTGAGACAACTATTTTTAACATTTGCGGTAGGACCATTTAGGACCGGATCATCATGATAACTTTTTGCCTATGGTAGTGAAAAGTGACGACAGCGATGATGAAAGTGAAAGTGATTTTGGCGAAAATGATAATAATGATCATATGATAATTGATGATCATATTATGTTACCGAAAAACTATGTGTTCTCAGACAATGACCCATCTCCGGCTAATAGTGAACGTGTTAGTGGGAGTTATGTTGGGGAGTTTATTTATCAAGGCCGGTAACGAAGGCTCCAGAGTCTTGGAGAACTACAATCTGCTGTTTGCGATACTGATGCACCACATGATGTCGCCAATGATGCTTACCATACTCACTTGTAAGTTGTTTGTCCTTTGTTCAATTCTGTCAAGAGAACATTATAAGTGTAAAAGTTTTATCTCTTGATATATACGTATTATGAGTAACAACAGTTTTTCTTGAAACTATAGTAGATAATAGATTATATAATAGACTAATAGAAACCTAACTTTTGCAACTTCACCTTTTCCATTAGATCCCATTTTCTCTTAACAATTTAAGGTAGATCGTTGTTTTGTTTAAGCATGATGTTAAATATAAGTAAGATAGATGAATGGCTGTTTTTTTATTATTGTTTGGACATGATTTCATTAATTTTACATATCGATGGTTGAAAGACTATTTGTTTTGAGCGACATTTATCTTTATAATTAAAGGTTCATTTTATTTGGTATGAGTATCAACAGTCATACCCGATCCTGTAAGCCGAATGGTAAACAGTCGACGTCGCCCAAAACACGTCATTACGGATCCTCCCGATCCATTAACGGTGATTTTAGGTACCACATGCACCGGTCATCGTCTTCGTCGAACCCGTGGACAAGCGAATTAACCCACAAACAGCCCACTGAGTTTCTCGCCGGATTTTCTCAGTGGGTCACGTTTCCGATCCGGTGGTAGATTCTGCGAAGCACTGCTTTTGCTAGGGCCAGTGTTAGCACTACTCCGGTTTGAGCCCCGTGAGCTCTAATAGCCTCTCAAGGCTATGAGCATAGGTAGGAAAAAGAAAAAAAACTCAACAGTTTGATTTTTTTAATTGAACTTCAATTAAGTTTATGATATTTTTTCCAAATTTTAAACTATAAATGGCTTTCCTTCTAAAGTTACAAAAATGTCGCTGAAACCTGATATTATTATAGCCTTGCCTTATATAGCCTAGCCTTATATATTATTATATAGCCATATTATTATATATGATTAAATATAAGGTCACTAATTAACGATTCTATGAGACTCCAACGAACAGAACATCCTGTAAAATTAATAAATGATCCCGCTTGCTAACAAAATTTAATAATAAAAAAAAAAAAGCAATAACACACCATTTAACGTTAACGGCCGTCTGGTGTAGTGGTAAGTGACATGGTCACTACACAAGGGGGTCGCGGGTTCGAATCCCGCCAAGGGATGATATTTGTATGATAAATATAAATGTCTTTTCCAGGGTTATGGATGTATATTAAATATATTATGTATGTGTATAATAAAAATCTTACATTTATATCCGTTATCTGGTACCTGTAACACAAGTTCTTTACGAACTTATCACGGGACCAGTTAACGTGGCGTGATTGTTAGTAAATATTTATTTATTTATTGATTTTTTAAAAGGTTTGTTTTGCATCATTTCCAGTTCCGTCGGAAATGTCCATATTATCAAAGGAGCACTTCAATAGATGGTACTCGTTGGGTTCCTATTACATCTCTATTACAATTGTCGATTTGCCTATTACGGTAAGTGAAATTATTTTCAAAATATCTTGACTTTTTTTTATTGCCGTATAGGCAGACGAGCATACGGCCCACCTGATGGTGAGTGATTACCGTCGCTCATGGACGTCAGCAATTCCAAGGGCAGAGCCAAGTCGCTGCCTACCGTTTAATACTCTCCACAAGCCTCGTTTGAAGAAGGACATGTCATAGCGCTCGGAAACACCGTGGAGAGGAGCTCATTCCATAGCCGGATGGTAAGTGGCAAAAAATATCTCTGGAAGCGCACTGTGGATGACCGCAGTGGCTCCAGGTAGTATGGATGAACTCTACTCCGGTGGCGGGCGGTGCGATGGTAAACACGAGACGTTGGTATCATCTCGAACAATTCCGACTTCAAGCTGGATTTTGTTTAAATTTATTTTTCATATTTATACATTTAACGAAACACAGCGGAACCTTGGCTAGCGTCACTATTTAACAAAAACTCCTAGGTTAATGGTATCTGTTACTGAAAGCGGTTCAAAAACGTGGATGAAGTATGTATCTTCGAGAAAAACCTACCCGCAAGATTTGAACACGGACGTGGTTGCATCAGTCAATGATTTCCTGTTGTTTTTTATTGCTTAGAGCGCTGGACGAGCTCTTGTTCCGCTTAGTGTTAAGTGGTTATTGGAGCCCATAGACATCGACAATGTCACTGCTGCCACCCACCTTGAGTCATGAGTTCTAACTCTCAGTTTTATATACAACGCCTATCGCAGTCTTAAAATTTAAACGCATTACTGCTTCACGGGAGAAAATACGCAGGCAGGCAGAATAGATGCTTGGTAGTTTATTTAAATTGACAGGGTGTCATCGACACCAATAGGGCGGATTTCATTTTTTTCAAAAACCGGTGCGCTATTATCTGTGATCACACTGTGTGTGTCTTTTCCTCTGATGTAATTGGTGTGGCTTTATTTTTTCCGGAAGTAAACATCTGAAAAAAAAGTAAATAAAAATTCAGAAATTCCGAAAGTAAAAATAAAAGTAAAAAGTGTAGTAAAAGTAAAAAATTGTTTTTTCATTTTCAGATAGTATCTTGTGCGGTGTTCAGTGCGATAGTGTACACTATGTCTGGTCAGCCGATGGCGATCTCTCGGTTCGGGATGTTCTTCGCGATCTCCCTATACACGGTACTAGTGGCGCAAAGTTTCGGCCTCATGATCGGAGCCGTCTTCAATGTTGTTGTGAGTTTTTATAGATGTTTTTTTAATGATACAACTCGCTGGGTTTACCTCGGCTTTTCAATAAAGATTTTGTAGTCCACCATATCAATCAGTACATACAATGAACCCATAGAACTAGGTGTGTTTGTGGTATTGAAGAAAAGTAATAAAAATAGAAGGTAGGTAAGCAAAGAACAAAAAAACTAAATGCATAACGAAGTCCATTAATAATAAAACAAAAGGAAACTGGTACTACATATAATGAATCTAAGTCTTAATGATTTCCATCCGAACACTAGTATTATTAAAAATCGTTACTAAAAATTCTAGTTAAAGACAATGTTCTGTGTTGTTACTTTTACACTTGCCCCCCACAAACTCGAGTAAATTTTTTTCCCTACTTATTCGCTAGTACTCTAAGGGTCTATTCCAGCTACGCTATGGCTGTGGAGCTCAGGTGCTCAATCTGGGATAAATTCCTAACACTAGCCCTAGTTAAAGCAATGCAATGCATCCTAGCTAAAGCTACCGCAGTATCGGGATAGTGACCCACTGAGAAGAAGCCCACTGAGTTTCTCGCCGGATCTTCTCAGTGGGTCGCGTTTCAGATCCGGTGGTAGATTCTGCGAAGCACGGCTCTTGCTAGGGTTCATGTTAACAACGTCGTCAGGTTTGAGCCCCGTGAGCTCACCTACATTTTAGGGTGAAGTGAAATAGCCTCTCAAGGCTCTCAGCTAGGTAGAAAAAAATACTGAGAAGATCCGGCGAGAAACTCAGTGAGCTGTGTCTATGGTCAATAAAGAAGAATTCTCCAACAGTAGGATATATCTTTCGTTTCCAGAACGGTACCTTCCTTGGCCCTACTTTGTCGGTACCGATGATGATGTTCGCGGGCTTCGGAGTGACTCTACGCGACCTCCCGCCGTACTTGTACTGGGGGTCATACGTCTCGTACTTGCGGTACGGATTGGAAGGATTCGTGGGCGCCATATACGGGTTGGAAAGACCGAAACTGGACTGCAATGAAGCACCTATATGCCTTTATAAGTGAGTTCATATCATTCAATTTGTTGTAAATAAAGATGAAGAATAAGGACATTCGACTATTTGCTGACCGAACATTGATAATTGTTCAGTGATAGATCTTCCCTGTGTAAATATGCATAATCAAGAGATAATCAAGACCGTACCGATCCGTACATATAGCATCCTACTACCATCCCTACCCAACTATCCTCATTGCGTCAATAATCCTCGATGCGAGGTCGCGACCTTCCTGAATATCTTTCTCCTGGACTTTCCTGCTCTTTCTATCTATCTATATTCAATGCGTGGATCGCATTGTGGACTGAGGTGAGGTGAGTGAGGTTGGTCCGACCAGCGCATTGAACTCCAGACTCCCTACCCAACTATACATAACTAAATATTCTCTCTCTTCAATTCCAGATACCCAAGACAGTTCCTCTCTGAAGTAGCTATGTCTCCGGACAGATTCTGGTGGGACGTTCTAGCGCTCACGATCTTCGTCTTCGTGTTAAGGATTGCAGCTTTCTTCCTTCTAAAATGGAAGTTAAACGCTGTTCGATAAAGACATCTAATTTGCTCAAGCCATTTATATATACTTAGAATTATAGTAGGTAGATTAATAATGTGATTTTTTTTATGGCGAAAATCGTATTTTAAACGGGAATTTAAGTTTAGTACGGTTGGTGACAAAAACAAAATTTATGTTAAATGTAAAAAAAAAAAATGTGAAATTCATAAAGAAAATTTTAGCTAAGTAGGTATTAAATTAATTATTGCAACGGTTTCTAGGTTTTCTTACTTGTACAAACTTGTACAAAGTAAATTATATTTTAGTGATTTCTGTTTTTCTAACCGTATTTTGAGGGTAGGTATTTTAATTTTGTTGACCTGAATTTTTATCTGGTCTGTGTATGAAGGGTAGAGGTACCCTCCATAGGTCTGTGGTTGAAATAGATAAAATTAAATTAAAATGAGTGCCATTTTACTGAGTCATTTTTATTATATGTATAAAATATTAAATCAAATATAATATAGTGTTATTATATCAAATATAAGTTTTTATTTAATAGTAATCGGATAGATGGTTGATTATAGCTATATGAAAGAAATATTAACAAGGAAACGATAAGAAAACGCAGCGAAAAGAATATATTTTGGATGTTTTAATTTCTAAGAAAACTCCAAATTTGAAAGACAGTTGGAGCTTCATATTCAATTTTATAATCCCCGAACATAATGTATGTAACCAAAGAAGACAATTTTCATTTCGTCTAAAAACCGATTGGCCTTTATTATGTTTTTTTGTATTAGAGTGTAATTAGTTTTAACATATCTTCTACAAATATACCATATTTTCTAAAAATATAATAATGCTGGTTTTATACTTGAAGCTTAAATAGTGTATCACCTATGACTTCAAGAGCTTGACATAAATTACAAATAGACATCGATGCGATGAATCCTGATGAAATGTCATAATAATATTTTTTATCTATGACCGTTCCCGGCATTTTTAGGTTTAAGTTTTAAATAAAATTTTAAAACGTTAAAATTATAAAAAAAGAAAAACAAACGCCGGTCTTGCCTTATTATTTAGGTTAAGTTAGTATTTTGTTTATCCCGTCTACATTTTCAGATCACTTTAAATTTATAATAAATAAATAATAAATATTTAATAACAATCACGCCACGCTAACTGGTCCTGGGCTAAGTTCGTAAAAAACTTGTGTTACAGGTACCAGATAACGGAAATAAATGTAAGATTTTTATTATACACGTACATATATTTTAATATTTAATATACATCCATAACCCTGGAAAAGAGATTTATATTTATCATACAAATATCTTCCCTTGGCGGGATTCGCGACCCCCTTGTGTAGTGACCATGTCACTTGCCACTACACCAGACGGCCGTTATATATAACAATTGAAGACATATTTATTTAATGTAATAGTGTTGTACGCATTGCATCAGAAGCTAAACGTTTATTTGTTAGCAGCGCCCTACTCCCGACAGATTAGATCCTTGACAGATTATGGGGTTACAAATTTAATACTAGGCTTAGATTAATTTAGACTAATTTAGAGGAACTACATTACTTGCTACTGTAGACCAAGAATTTTCAATAATATGGAATGAATGCCTAAGGTCATATTTATAATGTAAAGTTTATCGAAAATATAAATGGATATTAGTTAAAACTTCATTTATGCCTGTCGATCGTCTATGATGGGGCAAATTGGGGAAATTTTAACTTTATCGGACTGTTAACGACCGTTTTAACTCTTTTGAAACGATCATGACTAACGCTTCGTAGCGATCTTCTTTTAATTCCTTCCCATAATTAATTATGAAAAAGATTAATAGAATTAAAATAAAAACACATTCAATTCTTGATTGAAATGAATTTATGAAATTCTTTTTAAGTATCTGTAGTTTATTTGGTAGAATTCCCAGTGTCGTATGAGGAGCAGTTTCTTGAAACTCAAGTTAACAACCAATTTCAAGTAAAGAACATATCGACGCTTGAAAGGCAAACATGACTAAGCGACAATAACTGCTTTGTACATAAATAATAGGCAATAACCATATTCGATGCGCAAAAAAATTATATTTCTAGGTCTATTAAAATCATTTCAATCCTACAGCTGGATTCGTTAAAATATATTTTTTTTCAGGTATTTCAACTTTAAATTAGTCTACTGTAAAGTTCACGCATTGTCGCTTAGTCACGTTTGCCTTTAAAGCGTCGATTCGTATTGTTTAAGTATGAAATTTATTTAAGTGTTAATTAAGAAATCATCGAGTTATGCTTATATGCCGGTGTTCAAATCCCGCAGGCTGGAACCAGTGTGCTTAGTGCGAGTTTTTTAACGTTCTCGACAGCGTAAAAATTAACTCAAATACGTATGGAGTTGGAAAGGCGATGAAAGGAGATGAAAGGCGATTGCATGCAGCAGAGATGCGAATGTTGCGATGGATGTGTGGAGTAACGAGAATGGATAGAATACGGAATGAGTATGTTAGAGGAAGTCTGAAAGTGGCACCTGTGACAGAGAAGCTGAGGAGTGCGCGTTTGGGATGGTATGGACATGTGATGAGACGAAATGAAAATGAGGTTGTTAAGAGAGTGTTAACTATGAATGTGGAAGGATTTAGAGGAAGAGGTAGACCTAAGAAGAAATGGATNTGCTAAGTTCGTAAAGAACTTGTGTTACAAGTACCAGATAACGGAAATAAATATAATATTTTTATTATACACATACATATATTTAATATACACCCATAACCCTGGAAAGACATTTATATTTATCATACAAATATCTTCCCTTGGCGGGATTCGAACCCGCGACCCCCTTGTGTAGTGACCATGTCACTTACCACTACACCAGACGGCTGTTTGAGCAGCAGAGTGCGCTAAGTTAGCACAGTTTTAATTAACATTGATTATTTCTAAGAAACTACGACGAAACGAAAGCCTTACAATTTTTTTCAACATTAAATAATATTACTTTTTTTTTTTGTTTTTTTTTATTGCCTTTGTAGGCAGACGGGCATACGGCCCACCTGATGGTGAGTGGTTACCGTCGCCCATGGACTTCAGCAATGCCAGGGGCAGAGCCAAGTCGCTGCCTACCGCTTAAAACCTCGTTTGAAGAAGGACATGTCATAGCGCTCGGTAAACACTGTGGAGAGGGGCTCATTCCAAAGCCACGTGGCAAAAATGATCTCTGGAAACGCACTGTGGATGACCGCAGTGGCTCCAGGTAGTATGGATGAACTCTACTCCGGTGGCGGGCGGTGCGATGGTAAAAACGAGATGCTGGTATCATCTCGAACAATTCCTCAGAGCACTCCCCATGGAACATACGGTACAAAATACAGAGGGAACCGAAGTCCCTCCGCAGACCCANTGGACATGTGATGAGACGAAATGAAAATGAGGTTGTTAAGAGAGTGTTAACTATGAATGTGGAAGGATTTAGAGGAAGAGGTAGACCTAAGAAGAAATGGATGGATTGTGTGAAAGACGATATGGGTAGGAGGGGAGTGAGCGAAGAAATGGTATATGATAGAAGAGTATGGAAGGAGCAAACATGTTGCGCCGACCCCAGGTGACTGTGAGAAGGGCAGGATAATGATGATGACGTATGGAGTTGGAACAACGCCCCTAGCAGCAAACATACGGTACTAAGCACACGGGTAGTGTTACCGATGTTACCGCGTTGATTTACCACTACGATTGGGGAATGAAAATGATAACTATTTTCGTTATGATCCGTGGTAGGGCTAGCTAACAAAGCTATTAATATGTAAGAGTTGATAAGTTGAGCTTTTCATATAAGTTTGACGACCGTGTACCTACATACGTTGTAGGAAGGAAGTGTACACAAATACTTGTGTTAACAGTTAGCTAGTTTTTAAGATGGTTTAGTTGGTCACTTTATTTATTTTACGTTAATAGCACATATAGTACTAGACCAGTAGGATATTTTTTTTAAGTCATTGTTAAATTGCAAAGTGCTTGCAGGAGCCATTAGAATATATAATATATTAACTGTTAATGCGATAATCTTTCAATTATTTAAGATTGTAAACATTATTTTTCTTCATTTATTTTTCCATTCACCTCCGTAAAAATAATTAGGATTGGACGAAATTTTGGGTATTAGACTAAATTTTGTTTGTATTTTTAAAGATTATATACATACATATTAAAAATAAAGACATTAAACTTAAAAAAAATAGGTAGCATAGATTTATATAATTAGTAATGGTGATATTTAAAAAAAAAACTTGTATATATGTATACGGAAAATCTAAAACGACAAAATAAAAATTTATATTTTTTTACAAAAAAAAATGTGTATAATTTTTTTCGTACATACGTGAATGAAATTAAAAAGTTAAATTGACAATAAATATTTTATCTACATATTTATCTATTACATAACGACTGAAAAACTTAACTCGCATAGAATATACATACATATTTCAATATCCTGTACCTACAGTGGCGAAAGTTAACTAGGTAACAAACTTTTCTTTCACCGACTACTACGGGCTGCGGTTCGAAAGCCGTTGTTGACAGTTGAGACTGCGACCTCATGTCTCCATGGCTTCCATGCTGTAATGCCTATAGACTTCGGCAGTCATTGAACACCAGGCGGACCGTAAGCCCATTACCACCTGCCGACCACCCTTTTACACTATAAATAAGGACACATTTTTTTTCATATCCATAATATGTTCCACCGAATGTGTAGGCGAGGTCGCAGGGTCCAACCTAGGAGACTGCTAACATCAGGCACATTTACACAGGATCCGAGCCCCGACCATGTGCCCTGTACTACGGGAATCAGACATACACATACTATCTACCATACGTTTAAATTTATTTTCGATAGGAATACGTTTTAAGAAATGAAATGACCATTGAGGTCCACACAACACTTAGCTCGGGAGTGCTTCCCCACCGCGGCGGTCAACGCGTGCGTCTTCCGCGAACTCTTTCTAATTGGCGTCAACAAAGCTAATGCAGAATATACATTTTTATTAAATAACGTACTCTGTAGTGCCAGATGCTGTGTTCTCGCGGTCCGCACAAAAAGCGTTGCGCAGTCTGCCATTTGGCGACCCCTGAATCAAACGAATGTGAAGAAATTAATACGCAGATTGTTTTTGATCTGTGCAGATAGTGCTCTCTTTTCGTCTTTAAATTTTCGCCAGTGCTGAGTTATCGTGAGCACTTGCGGAGGCACGAATCAGGCCTCGGAGCAACCAGGGCTGTGGGGTCCCTGGCTCACTGCGCAAGAAGCTGATAGCTTGTTTTGTGGGATTTTTGTTGCTTCTGTCTTCCTTCTGGAAGCCGCGGCAGGTGTAACGCCGTCAAGAAATGCCAACAAATGGGAACAGTTGGCGGTGTTTGTTCATGTGGCACCGACCGCCAAAGCGCAGCGTGTATAACGCTCTAAATGATACCGCCGAGAACACCGCCGCTAGCTGCTTTGTGGTGCTTGTATTTTGGCGTGTTCCGCCGCTAGTGATGGGCACTTCGGTAACTAGGGATGTCGCCACACAAAAACAAAAAACAACAACAAAATCACTGAGTAGATCAGATTATAGTATTTTCGCAGACGCTATCTCCACACAAGATCTATTAACATCCACTGTAGATAAAAGAAAACCACGTAGCCGGTGTAAACGGCCAAGGATATAGTTCTTAATTTGGAGCCTGGTAGACTATCGATGGCGTTATACACTATTTGTCCGTTCAGATAATTGATGTATAGCCTGAAACCAAAATGTTGTTATTGTTTTTCGGATTCAATTAAATTTAGTTTAATTTGATTGTAAGGTACATATACAGGGTGTCCCAGAAAGAATGGATAATCCTGAAAAACCTCACAGTACAGCTATTGGGGATGCAAAAAAGAATGATATATTTCATTGGTAGTACCCAAATTAAAAATAAAGAAAAAATACAAAATTACATGTCTAAAATTTAAGTTCAGATTAACTTTTATAAGAAAATACACTAGCTAGCACTAGTGCACTAGCACTCATACGATTTCCTGCATATTCCTTAATATAGTCCATGTAGAATATTATAACATCAAAAAGCTTATAGATTTCATTTATTTGTAGCTGTTGTATATTCCAGAAACGCACAGCAGTATCGAAAATATCAACTATGTCCCCAGTAGCTCTACTATGAGATGTTTCAGGATTATCCATTCTTTCTGGGACACCCTGTATATCCAATAGTTTCTCTCAATCACGTTTATGTAAAACCATTTATCTACTTATATTCCATTGGTGGTAATGCGTCTTGTGAACCCACACGAGCGGGTGCCTCTTTTTGCCGCCAAGCAGTAATGCGTTCCGATTTGAAGGATGGATCAGCCGTGACACTAGAACTGAGGCTTAGAACTCATGTTTCAAGATAGGTGGCGGCATTTACGTTATAAACGTCTATGGATTCCATTAACCATTTAACGCAAGCTGGGCCGTGAGCTGGATTGAACGACAAAGCAATAAAATCGAAAAAAATGGTGCGCATGCAACTTAGTTTACGTGAAAGAAGTGAAACTTCTTTTGCGGAGTGTAGTACTGTGGTTTTCTTCATTTTTCATCCTTAAATCAAATTTCTCTCGAATAGGCAATGCTGTGTACTCGTATAAGATAAACGACCTCTTCACCGTTTATATATATTTTAAATTATATACAGAAAAAGAAAAAATCCTTCATTGGAAATAAATTATATTATAATTAATATATTAGTGCCATCTACAGGAGCAACGAGAAACTAATAACAAGTTGTCTAGTGGACGCTGGCCGTAAACATAGTGGTAGTTTTCCAATTACAGAGCATAATGCGACTCAGTAACGCACAATGCCGAATTATGCTGAAGCTCAATTGGAACGTAAATTCGTTTTCAAATAATAAATAAATAAATATAAATATTTACTAACAATCACGCCACGTTAACTGGTCCCGTGCTAAGTTCGTAAAGAACTTGTGTTACAAGTACCAGATAACGGAAATAAATATAATATTTTTATTATACACATACATATATTTAATATACACCCATAACCCTGGAAAGACATTTATATTTATCATACAAATATCTTCCCTTGGCGGGATTCNATCAGAACAGTCACCGTCTACAACGACCGTGATGCTCCGCCCATCCAAAAAGCTAGCGATCCACTTGCAGAGACCCTCGGGGATTCCGTAAGATGGTAACTTCGATAGAAGTGCCCTATGCCAGACCCTGTCGAAGGCCTTCGCGATATCAAGGCTCACAGCAAGAGCCTCGCCCTTGCTCTCCAAGGCTTCAGCCCACCTGTGAGTACTAACGATAATATAAACAAAATTTCGATCAATGCCAACTTAAAGTAAAAACACTTGTCAATTTTCTGTCACTGAGCGGTATCGATTGCACGCATCACGCGAGAGCAGTACTTTTGAGATAGAATATAATGACTATTGATAACTTAATAATTTGTTTTTCTACATAGTCTCCGAATCTCTCTACACACCGAGTCCAGCGCTTTTCCAAGGCCTCATTCAATCCCTTTAAAAAAAAAGTTTTGTCTTATTCTTGCAAAAAGTGCAGTGCTCGATTGTGCGAAGCGTTGCTGTAGTTGGAACATTCAACGTCGTGCATTATGCAGCATTATGCCGCATAATGCGCTCTTGTGCTGTAGTTGGAAAACAACCAATGTGTTTAAGAGAAACGACCAAGCTCGCTTTCTCCCTCTCTCCAAGGTCGAGTGGTTCGCGAGACGCTCTGTCTATTTTCTCACTTTCGCTCGTCCTAATTGTATATTTTCTCTCTATCTGTAACTGTGTAGTCAAATTTAACTCTCAACGCACCTAAAGAAGTTTCACTTCAAAAACCTACAGAATACAGATTGTTGACAAAGTTTTACACTAATAATAACATTTATACTCACACAATGAGATAAAACAAATAAAAAGCTGTCATAATCGTGAAACGCGGTGCAAGATTCCTTGGCCTCCTCCTTGGAGTCAGTATCAAGTCTCCGATTACAACGACCGCCGACACGGTGTGCAGCGAGTGCTGGCACCAGTACGGGAGGTAGTCGAATAGTTTCGGTGGAGCCATCATCTCCGGGTTGGTTATCATCGTCGTCCAAAATACTATATCTGCCATCTGAGAAGAATATTGGGCACATTTTTTAAGATCAATGCTCTAAAATTTCTATAACATTATCTAACTCCAAAATAATACACCTCATGAGTGGTAGAGGAATCTGTTGTGACTTCCGTCTTCTGATCATCGTTTCAATGGAAAAGGAGAGAAGATATCGAAATCGGGGTCAACGATAGTGCGATAAAAAAAAAAATATGTCACAAAAAAGCGCGAACACGGTATGTCCCCCTTCTTAGCTAACTCAGAGTCACGTAACCACATTGGAGTCTGACTATAGATTTCGACTAGTACGAGCACGACTACCGCACAATAGGGTTAAAAATACCATGAATAATCCAAAAATTCAGGTTTAAAGGATGTGCGTAGGACAGCTTTCATTGTTAAGCAATTGACGCTTGTGTCTCCGAGGTAGGCTAGCGGCATTTACGATGTTCTCGAATCGCCCGAATCCACTCTCGGATCCACTCTCGGTGATTTTAAGCTCTTCAAGCACTGGGCACCGTTCTCGTCGAACGTCGAACGAAGGGTTCGACGAGCGAACTAGCCCATAGACACATTCCACTGAGTTTCTCGCCGATTCTTCTAACTGGGTCGCGATTCCGATCCGGTGGTAAATTCAGCGAAGCACTGCTCTTGCTAGGGCTAGTGTTAGCAATGCTCTCATGTTGAACCCGTGACCTCACCTACTGGTCCAAGCGCAATTGGAATGGCCCATTAGGCTACCAAAGATTAGGTAGGGGAAAAAAACCCGTTTTGCGCATGTGAGCTGCAGCTACAGTCGATAACTTGAAAGACCGTGGACCGTGAGTTCATGGTACTTATGTACTAGCAAACGCATTTACGATAGCCAGACGATAGCCAGACTGATGAAACTCACAAAAGTTGTGGGTGCCACAACGCTGGTCATCGTGACGTCCGCAATCTTTTTCAGTAATGGAATGCATTTCCGTCCTCCGCTACCAAGTCCACAGCTGTTCCACTCGCAATAGATGACGATCGGCAAATAACAAAGCATTATCAGCTGAAAAATGAAAAAAATACTAACAGGTATTTTTAATGATTACAAAATGGGTGTGGCGATTATTTGATTATACATGTTAATATGAACCTCAATCCAATTATTACGTCTGCAGTGTTGTTCATGTGTGTTATCTGTGTGATGTATGTAATGGCAGATTTATGTGTTTCATTATTTTTAGACTATTCTTAATTTTTATTTGTTAAAATAAACCGTAAAATAAACGCATTTGCTTCATAGTTTCAAAAAAACATAGTTCTATCAAGATACCTATGCAACCTACATACTTGAAACAAACAAAAAAATCTTGGATGATTCGTGGTTTGTCGATTTGTTATCAAATTACACCGTATTAGCACAGTGTGAGTGACTAGCCAATACGTTATCATCGCCAATTATAACAATAGCATCTAAATCACAAAGAAAACGTGAACATATTTTTTTATTGCCCCTTTAGACAGACGAGCATATGGCCCACCTGATTGTGAATGGTTAACGTCACCCATGGACGTCAGCAATGCCAGGGGCAGAGCCAATTAGCTGCCTACCATATGCTTTACACCTACCCTTCGTTGTTCAATATAAAAAGTATTTCTATGTGACCAATTGGCCAAAGTAAAATACAATAATGAATTAATTAATAAACTTACATTAAACCAACAAGTGAGGAGCATCCATCTGATGTAGAAATAATTACGTATCCTGGGATCTGCATCAACGGTCGTATCAATAGACAATGTCACGACCGCGGTTACCACTAAATGTACGAAAGCGACGAAGTGGAATGAAATTCTTAAATATGACACCAAATTAATACATGAAACATGAAACATTGTCGAGCCTAAAGTGTATAACAGAAGTGTATTTATGTAGGATTTGTAGTGTGTACCTTTTTAATCTAATTTTCTATTCATATTTGTTAATCATTGTGGCATTATCACAATCAGAAATCACTAATCAGTAAATAATCAGTGGGTTTTTTTCTCTTTGTTTTGACGCCGCCGCGCCGGGTCGATTTTATTCGAGGATTCGAAGGTTAAGTGCGTGAAGCAAGTGTTTTGGACATATCCGTATTTTTCACTTATTTTTCGGGTGTTTTATTGAATTTTATCCCCTGTTGATTATCTAATTATTAGTTTTGTGTGTTTATATAAGTGTTGTAAGTATTATAGTATAGTAGTTTAGTGTAAATAGTGAAATTATTAACGGCGTCGACCCCCCCGATCCCGGGGGAGGTTATATCCTTGACCCATCTAACTCTCCAATCCCAATGGACACGGAGGTAATCCATACTTTTAGAAAAAGACAAATTCCTCCATATTCTGATTATTCCTCTTTACCACCAAAGAAAAATACAGTCGCGGAAGCAATCGGATCTGTTCGGTCTGTGTATACTTTACCAGAATATGAGGGCAACAGAAAACGGTATTTGGATCAAGATGTTGCTCCTTTTTTGATCCAAGTAAGAAAAGATTGCGAGTCTTCGTCTAGTGCTACACTTCGCCCCATTGAGTTTGGTCACTTTTTACACCACAACGATATCAAAGACGTTGCTAAAGACGGCGCTAAACGTATCGGCCAAAACCGCGTCTCAGTCCAATTTAAAACTGCTTTTGCCGTAAATTCTTTCCTAGATCACCCAGGTCTTGCCGCAGCTAAATACAATGCTATTATTCCTTCTTATAATGTGACCCGCATGAGTATTGTAAGAGGCGTACCAGTAGAGTGGACCCTAGAAGAATTAGTTTCTTGCATTGAAGTTCCTGATGGTTTTGGACGTGTCATCAGAGCCCGACGACTGAATAAAAAGTCAACTGAAAATAACGCTACTATTTGGACTCCAACTCCGACACTTGTTCTTACATTTATTGGCCAAAAGCTTCCAGATAAGGATTACTGTTTTTACACTTCCCTCCCAGTTCAGACATATATTTTACCAACTATTCAATGCAATAATTGCTGTGGGTTTGGACATGTTGCTACGCAATGCCGGTCAAAAGCGCGTTGTTAAATCTGTGCGACATCTCACTCTGGTATTGACTGTAATAGTTTATCTCCAATACCTACCTGTTTGTTTTGCTCTGGTAGCCATAAAGCCATTGATACATTTTGTCCTGAACATTTTAGACAGAAATCCATCAAACTGGTAATGTCACAAGAAAATATCTTATACAACGAAGCATCAGTCAGGTTTCTTCAAGTTAGAAGATCTTTTGCAGATATTTCTCGTACTTCTTCCTCCCTTTTTCCCACTCAATCTTCCCAAGCCCTAACCCAATATTCTCCCCACACCCAAGCCATATCCAATTCAGTCTCGTACCGTCGCGGCGTTGCACTTACTGTACTTTAATACATAAATATAAAACAATTTAAAGTATAAAAAGTTTATTCGAAGTGGTCTCTATTGGCTGCAATACAGTCCTTTAAACGTTGAGGCTAGTTATCAATAGAAGCACGCAAACTTTCCATGGGAAATTTTTTCACTGCCAATCGTAAGGATTGTTTTAGGGACTCCAAATTATCATGGCGTTTAGAGCAAGCCGTACTCTCTAAAACTGACCATAAATCATAATCCAGCGGATTAAGATCGGGACTAGACGACGGCCAGTCTTCAGCTCTGATGTAGTCCGAAACGTTCGTTTCCAACCAAGACTGCGTAGACGGAGCTTTATGACCTGGCGCCGAGTCTTGCTGGAAAGACCATTCTTGATTATTGAACATGGTGTTGTTAAGGGGCTTCACTACCTTCTCAAGAATGGTATCTTGATACACTTGTGCCGATGTTTTGATACCTTTTTCACAAAAGTATGGGTCAGTCACTCCTTCATAGCTAATACCCCACCAAACCATCACTGAAGTCGGATAGTGCCCACGTTGCACTCTGTCGACTAATTGGGAAGCTTCCTTAGAGCTTTGAACATAAATACGGTCATTTTGTTTGTTAAAATGATGCTCAATTGTAAAAATTTTCTCATCCGGAAACAAAAAATTTCTATGACCTCCCTTTGCGTACCGCTTCAGTAGTTGTTTTGATTTTACCACCGTATTCTCTTTTAAATTATCAGTTAAGAAATGACCAGTACGTCTTATGGGCTGCAAGTCCTAAGTCATATTTTAAAATACGTGACATGGTTCTAGGCGCTATCTTCATTTCCCGAGATAAAATATTTTGCTATCGGACAGGATTTCTTCGAATTCTTTCCCTTGCTGCTTTGACCACCTTTTTCGTACGAACACTACGTGGACGGCCAGATCTTTTTCTGTCACAAACAGAGGAGGTCTCATTGCACCTTTTAATAAGCCCGGTACACAAACATTTTACTAATACCAAGCGTATGGAGAGTTTTAAAAATTGCATTTGGCTCCATACCTACTTTGTGTAATGCAATTACAGCGATTCGGTTCTCTATATCACCCCACTCCATTTTAATATCGCAAAATATTGTACAATGTATTGGCGCCAAAATGAGAAAACACAATGAGCAATCATATAAAAATGACAGATTCCAAATTCAAATGTAATATTTTGTTTATTTTTAATTGTAACAGTATTTATGGCCAGACTACATCGATATATTATCGATGCCAGACTAAGTATATTTTCCCGTTTTGGGGACCTTGAACTACCGAACAATGTCGTATCTAAACTTACTGAGGTTACTAAAATTATTAAAAATACCCAAATTCCTACAATGGAATTGTTACAGCATTGCACACACACACACACTATTTTAAAACCTGGGAAGCCCAGCTCTGACCCTTCTAGCTATCGGCCAATCGCTTGTCCTGTACAATGGCTAAGATATTGGAACATTTAATCAAGAACCGTTTAGAATGGATTGTGGAAAATAGGAACATATTAGCTAAATCTCAGTTTGGATTCCGAAAAGGTTTTAGCACTATGGATAGTTTAAGCATATTTGTAACAGACGTTCGTATCTCCTTCTCTAAAAATGAGTCTTTAGTAGGTGTTTTTCTGGACGTGTCATCTGCGTTTGACAATGTTCTTCTTTCAGTGCTCAGGCAGAAAATGCTCCAGCTGAGTATTCCTATGTAGATTGTAAACATAATTTTTAATCTCCTGTCTCTTAGATTCGCATCTATTCGTGCTCCAATTATTCTTCCTCTCCCAGACAGCTGTGGAAGGGGCTTCCCCAAGGGTCAGTCCTTAGCCCGTTACTTTACAGTATTTATACGTACGATTTAAAGCTTTCGGTTAATTCCTTTTGTCAAGTTCTACAATATGCTGATGATCTCGCACTCGTTTCTTCTAAGAATATTGATGAGGCCTCTTCTCGCCTAAATTCAGCTATAGGCTATCTCCAAGACTGGCTCTCAGACCACGGTATGTCCCTATCTATCCCTAAAAGCAAAGTGGTTGTTTTCTCTCGGTCCAGATCTTGTCCTAATGTTTCAATATCTTACAATCAACAAAAAAGTTCGGTTGTAGACAATGTGAAATTGCTTGGTGTGGTATAAGGTTCTAGATTAAGTGGCGGTCATCATATTAATCATATTGTTAAAAAATGTGAGAAAAATATTAACATTCTGCGTTCCCTATCTGTTGGATCAAAAACTTAAGAGAAACTTAACTTAAGAAAAAAAAGTATGAAAAAGTATGAAAAAGCATACTTATATTTCTTATATATTCAGTTCAAAATATTAAATCACACAAGTTATTAATTACAATACAATTTTATCCCTGCTGTCCATCTGTAAACCACAAGATAATGGCAAAGTGTGGAGCATGTGGAAAATTCTTGTCAACCGCGGACTGTGCGCGTTGTAGTAAATGCAGTGACATCTTCCATAAAGGATGCGTGTCAATCCCATCTACGGGCGCTGCGCCTCGGGGCTGGATCTGCCCTAGTTGCTCAGCGAAAGTACCTCGTGGGGATAATACGGCAACTCCTGTACGAGGGTTGACAGCTGTCGGGGTGCATCACACTTCGAGCGAGGGAGATGTTGATGCAGATACGATGAATCGGTCGCTGGAGTCTCGTGTCGACCTTGGTTTAGAAATCCGATCTTTTAAGGATGAGCTGGTGGGCCTAAGAACTGACTTGAGAGAGTGCCGAAATGATATCGCTGAGTTTAAGGAGCTCCTCAAGTCTTGTCATGGACGCATCGACGNATTTTTATTTTGTTTTTTCTTAAATTTTTATAATTTACTAATTTTACTAATTTATATCATATTCTGAGTATGTACACACGTACGGAGTCTTCATTCCCGCAAAGAACCAAAGGGAAACGGGGGTGACTGAAAATCAGCGCTGTTCAATTTATCAACCTTGAACAGCAATAGCTGAGCCACCTCCTTTTGCCTTTTTCTCTTTTTTTTGGTTTTCTTTTTTTTGTATTTCATTTTATGATGTGAAAGGCAATAAATGATCTTTATTATTATTATTATTATTATTAAAAAAAAGAAAAAAACTTAAATGTTTTATTTATGTATATTTATATTTAGATATTCATGTTTATCCAATAAATAAATCAACTTAGGGACTAAAATATATTTTATACATTATATTCCGTACAAATTAAACAAAGTATACTTATTTAAAAGGCAAGTCATTATCCTCATGTCTGATGCAACAAGTGTCCTTGTTTTTGTTTAATTAACCACTAAAAGAAAATGAGTATGATGATATGGCTATTGTATAACACATGAATATCAGCAACGCTCAATGAAAAGTCAACACACTGGTTGCTGCAGAATATTTCTGTAAAATCTCATTTGAAGGAGATTAATACTCTGTGGGCTGACTATACACAACGTGCATGCAGCACGATCCGCGTCCAGTTCAATAATGCTTTCAGGGCTGTGTTGAGGCTGCCCCGGTTTCGTAGCGCCTCGGGTATGTTTGCAGTGGCTCGTACGGATTGCTTTCATGCGACCATACGCAAGCGGTGCGCATCCTTGGTACGCAGAGTGCGGGCTAGCTCCAACACGGTCCTAGCCATGATTGCAAACAGACTGGACTGCCCCTATATAAGACACTGCTGTAATAAACATCTGTCTCTCATTAATCTAACAGTGACTGGTATGGTGTAGCGATGGACGATATACATCGATTTATTTAAAATACTCGATGTATAGTAACGATGCATCGTCTTGAACCGATGTATTGTAAATACTTCAACATCGAATATATATCGATGTTTTTCATTCGATGCATCGATTAGGTACGCAAATTATGAGATTACTATACTATGAGTGAAAAGAGAAACGAAACGTTATAATCAGTGCTGCCAATATTAATTAAACCAAAACAACAATATGGCCGACCGAGTTTCTGCTGTGTAAATGTATATTGTGTTTTTGTTACGATACGAGTTTTTGCCTTGTTTAAATCTAAAAAAGAAACTAATTTATGAACAGGTATGTCAGGTATGTGTATTAATAAATAGAATAATGTATTTAGTGATAATGATAATGGTTTTGCTAGTGAAACTTTACTGGAAATGACACATTGTTTTGTTGTCAAAAAGTACAAAGCAATTATTATATTTTACGTTTTATATTGCGCGTGCTTATAACTAAGATATAAAAGAGAAGATTATGTACCTACTTTACGACGAATGCATTAATTTCGCAATATGATACGATTTGATTGAAAGGTTATATTTTTTACCGTGAAATAATAATACTATCTATTGTAGTGATGCCAAGTTATCGATAATTACTATATTAATATTATCGATTAAAATGCGGCTTATACTTATTTGTATTCTACTAGGCAGTTAATAGGTATTATTATAAATTCCCTGTAAACAGTCCTATATAGTTTTGTTTTTTACTTTCAGTTATAATGGGACCTAAGAAAAAAAGTTCCGTTTGGCAGTTCTTTAACAAAATTGACGATAAGAAAACGAAATGCAAACTATGTCAAAAGGAAATTAAGTCTGCTGGAAACACTACGAACTTAATTGGACATATTCGTAATGTTCATAAGGCTGCTTATCTCGAAATTCAGCCGAAACAAACTACATTCAATGCAGTAACTACTACAGACGAAATATCGAATCCTCTGGATCTGGATACCAAAGTTACGCCTTATAATAAAATGGATGATGGAGTACTTCAGTTTCAACCTGTTCCAAGTTGCAGTGGCAGTCAAAGATCCGGTGCACCGTTACCAAAAACCGTAAATGAAACCATTGATTCAGACTTAGACGAAAACGTTACACCTTTAAAACGCCAAAGAACAATACAGGCCGCTTTTAAAGATATTTCCTCTTACTCAGAATCTGGAGCGAAGACAAGGAAACTGAACAACTGTTTGTTATTCATGATTTGCAAAGACCATCAGCCATTCTCAATCGTTGAAAACGAAGGCTTCAAAACTCTAATGAAAACAGTTGCTCCTCAATATAAGCTCCCGAGTAGAACAACTCTAAGACGCTGGCTGGACGATAAATATGAAGTAATTTCAGAAACAATTAAGAAAATGTTGTCCTCTATAGAAGATATAACCCTAACAACAGATATTTGGTCGGATACCTTGAATATGAAAAGTTTTTTGGGCATCACAGCACATTTCGGAATAGACATTGAACTATATTCAGTCACCTTAGGTGTGTACGAATTGGATGAAAGACATACATCAGATTATCTTTCTGAAATTCTCTTAAAGGTATGTCAAGACTGGAAAATCGATCAAGAGAATGTAACAGCTGTTGTTACTGACAACGCAGCCAATATAGTTAAGGCGATCGAATTAGCGTTTGGTAGAAGGAAACACATCCCATGTTTTGCCCATACTCTGAATTTGGTGGCTGAAGGCACAATGATATGTATTGAGTGGAGAAACATTGTTTCTAAAGTAAAATCAATAGTGACTTGGTTTAAACAGAGTTGCATTGCTAGTGATGAATTACGTAAAGCTACTGCTGCGGCTACGGAGTCTTCTGCTGGAGCAGCTGAGGTAAAATTAATACAAAGCGTGGATACTCGCTGGAACAGTACATATTATATGTTACAAAGATTTCTAGAACTCCGTAGTGTCATAAATGATATTCTCTTCCGCCACCCTAGAGCACCTGCAATGCTGAGTGCATCGGAAATATCTACTGTATCGTCTGTCATCATGGTATTGCGACCCTTAGAAGCGGCTACAAAAGAAATTTCAGGTGATAAATACTGCACAAGTAGTAAAATTATTCCCTTAGTTCGTTGCATGCTCTCTAAAATAACTTCAGCTGTTATAGAAGATCCCGTAGCGAAAGAGGTGCAGAAACTTGCTATTAATGAAATAAATAAAAGAATGGGTTCAATAGAACATGTGAATGCTCTGGCTATCGCAAGTATTTTAGATCCACGGTTTAAAAGAATGCATTTCAATGATCCGATAGCTTGTTCGAATGCTGTTACGAAAATTAAAGATTTAATGAAGAAGAATTTGCATAGCAATGAAGAACCTGAGTCCGATTCTGACAAGTCCGATAAAAATGAAGAGGCCTTTTCATTATGGACTGATCACCATAAGTTAGTGCATCGTAACTGGAAAATTAACAAATCTGAAGACGTTTTGTCTGACGAACTTTCCGTTTATCTCCGAACTCCTGTTGGAAGACTTAAAGAAAATCCGTTAGAAATTTGGAGAGATTACAAAATACAATTCCCGAAGCTGTACAAAATAGCTTTTAAGTATTTAACAATAGTTGGCACGTCAGTCCCTTCAGAAAGACTTTTTTCACAGGCAGGGCTAGTTATGACTGAACAAAGAAACCGGCTGAAGGGGAAGAGATTAAGCAAACTTTTGTTTTTACATAGCATTGACAAAAAATATTGGAATATGTAAAAAAAATGTGTTGTCTCGGTGATTTTTAATTTTAATACATATATTTCCTGATTAATACATATTTTTGTTTTAATTAATGCCTAACCTAAAACAATCGATATATAAGAAACATCGATGTATTTCCCAATACATCGTATTACCATCGATGTGACCGATCGATGCATCACATCGAAAAAAACATCGATGTATATTTTAAACGTCCATCCCTAGTATGGTGGCGGTTACTCAGTTAACATTATTTCATTATTTATTGTATTAGTTCTGTTATGAATTTTAATTTCATATTAGTAGTTGACAATTTTAATTTTAATAATTTTGATTTGGTTTCATTTTTGTTTGTTTTTGTTTTTAGTCATTCTGATAAATTGTAATTTTAAATTTTATTGTATTTTGATTTAGATGTTATGTAATTGTATGTGACATTTTATGAGCTTAAGTTGCCTGAAATAAATGCATTTCATTAATTCATTCATTAGTACTAACTCTCGAGAAACACCAAAGCGGATATTAGCAGATAAAATAATGTATATTAAAAACTCAAAATGCTTAACCTTTTTTTAAATTTCTATGTTAAAACAAAATATTACAGCACCGTAACAAAATTTCACATTTTAATTTATAATCAATGTTATATAGAAAAATAATTCTAGTATGAATACCATCACTAAGTTTTTTAAATAATATTCAGATAGACAACAGTAAATATAAAAAAACATGTGCCCTTCTGCACTTATTGATATATAAATACTTTTTTGAAATTAAATTGTTAATTGTACTACAAATCTGTGGATTACAATATACTCAGCAGTATGTTTATATAGTTAGATCAAATAGTTTTCCATATTTATCTATATAAGAACTAATGAATCAGTCATCCCAAATTTCATGGTTTGGGTCAGTTTCTGGTAAATATTCTTTCTGCAATATTATCTTGGGAGTGGTGATCGAGGCTACTGTTTTTGGAGGCTTCTCTATCGGAAATATAGAGGTCTTAGAAGGGCAGTTCAATACGTGAAACTTCATGTCTTCCTGGGTATACCTGTGTGTTGCGTTGTAAGGGCACGCAATCATTGTTGGGTTTATCCATTCACATTTGACAATATGGCGCTGCAGCCGTGATCTTGGTACGCGGTGAATTGGATTGTAAGGGCATGACACGAAGGGATCATCCATTTCGCTCCTAAATATTAAATTATTAATTTTTAAACAAGACAAACTTTTTTAAAGTTGTTCTTGAATGAAATAAATTTAATAGGCACAAATGAATATTTACCTGAGATCCGTACGAATCCAATTGTTAAATTTGAAACGTTAAATTTATAATTAGAATCCACTGGAATCTATGTTGTAATAAAGTGAAACAAAATTGAAGCCCCCGGTTTTTGCATTACACATTTCCTTTTTTTTTTAATTTGGCGTCGCGCGGTTTGCGAATATGCCATTGACAAAAGCAGGGAAACGTTTATCACGATTTAAAAGGACATTACTCACGGAATGGGGTTGGCAACTGTCAAAGTGGCGCTTGTGTGCATTGTTCCCATAACATTCAATATTTGTATTGGAATTTTTGATTAGAAATTATTTTAAGCACAATGACGCGTTGTTTTGTGCCAATATGCTCAGAAATTGGAGTACATCAATTCCCGAAGGACAAGAAAATTGGAAGACTGTGGTTAAAGGCCATTTGACGCGAAAAAAGTACTCCCACAAAAAGTTCGAGGTTATGTCGTAAACACTTTGTGGAATCTGACTAAGAAAACATTAGTAAATACACAGGTATGCTTCTTTCTGTCAAATATTTATAATGCATGACTAGGTGTAGCACACATCTTTGTTCTCTTATTAAAAAAATCCAACAATAATTAGTTAGGCACAGTATTAGTTGCTAACATATTTTGCAAGTAGATTTATGCTGTAAGGAACCTTTTAACAAACACAAAAGCAGACTGAAGGAAACACATTCCTCATGAGCTGTTGTTCATTATCAGCTGTTACTATTCTAAAGTTCTATCTAAATCGCTGCATCCATTGTAATAACAAATATTTAGAAACTATGGTCAGGTTTCCTTGTGATAGTATATTTTAAATGTTTTTCTTTGTGTTGTAGGTGTCAAACATTAACATTAATATCTGAAGAAAGGTGCTGTACCATCTATATTTTCATGGAATATGAAACCAGTTTCTGAAGAAACAAAAAATAAAGAACAAAAGTTACAAACTCGTAACCTTAAAAAACAGCTTTTTAGCCTGCCCAACACTTCTCAATACTGTGAAGATATAGTACCACAGAGCTATTACTTGCAGACGATGAGACAGTGTAATACTACACCGGGTTGGAAACAACATCTAAGTTTTCATTAGTTTTAATCACACTTTTGCCAATGTCAAATGATATAAGGTATCGCTGGAGTAGAGTGGTCGGCATATCAATAGAAGATCAATTTTTAATGTTACTAATTAAGCTTAGAAGAAACACAATAGATTTTGAATTAAGTAAAATTTTCGGTGTAAGTAAAACTGAAGTGTCTAATTTTGTTGTAACATGGATAAATTTTGTCAGTGATATCTAGAACCTAATTGACATTTGGCCTAGCCGCAGCTTAGTAAATTATTATATGCCTAATTGTTTTAAAACACATTATCCCTACACAAGGGTGATTATAGATGGGACTGAAATAGGCATACAGAAGCCTAGTCAACCTGATGCTCAAAAAGCGTCATTTAGTTCTTATAAACATAAAAATACCTTGAAATTTTTGGTAGGAGCTTCACCAGGGGGATTATTATCATATGTTTCAAACGTCTACGCTGGTTCTGCAAGTGATCGACAGATAGTAGAACGAAGTAAGCTGCTGCAGATTTGTGATTCTGGAGATAGTATTATGGCAGACAGAGGTTTTAATGTACAGGATCTGTTTGCCTCTAAATGAATTAGTATAAATATCCCATCTTTAAAAGGTAAATCACAAATCCCAGGTGTTCAGTTAACGATAGATCAAAAATTAGCTAGTCAAAGGGTTCACATAGAACGATTAATTTCATATGTGTAATGTTATGTAATTTTAGAGAAGGAATTGTCAATAAAAATAATGAAAAATATTCCTGATTTTTTATTTCGACAAGTGTGTATAGTTATAATACAGATATTTTCCATACAATGCTTCTTTGAAAATATTTTCATAAAAGATATCCAATTTATTTAACATATTATTTATAAAATTATTGTCTTTTTCAACATAAATCACTTTGATGTCCTTGTAGGTGTAAATGACCAAATCACAGTATGTTTTGCCTGAGCAGTATAACTGCCCTTGGATTTGATAATAATATGGGCAGGGTTTTTTTTAGAGACAATATCCCGTTACATTGTTCTAAGTAAGGAACCGTTGTTATATTTATTTCATGTTTTCTGCTAGCGTATGGACATTTCACTTCAATTATAGTTTCTTCGCCCAACACACCATCAGGAGATGCAGCAAGATATGGGCGCTCTTGGCTAATGAAAATGCCACATGGCTCCACTAGGAAATCATATATATTAGCATATTTTGCTAGAGCAATTTTTTCATTTTGTTTCTAAATTAAAATTTTGGTCATATAGCTCTAATCTGAAAAAAGTAAATTAATACATTAGTTGGTAGGTAATGTGTGTAATATGAGCAATTCTTTTTGCACATGCTACAAGGAATAAAGTTCCTAAGGTACACAATTTAATATTATTATTATTATAGCTACCGGAAACAGTTTGAGAGAAGTTTTATAAGTTAAAATAAAACATCAACATTGTACCTTTCGACAAAATCCACTTTTTTCCTCGTAAAGATGCACCACGTTTTCTCAACTCCTCCTTTAAGTCTTTAAATATCCAGTTGGAATACATGTTGTAAAACTGTTTAGCACTACTTAGAAAGTAATAAGAACCGTATCAAAGTCACAAAATGCCGAAATATCACGAACGCAAAACACACAAAATGGCGGCTCTCTGTGACAAGGGAACAAGCTACGCTGGCGACATCTGAGAAAAGCTTTAACCGGCCAACCCCATTGAAAAAGGATCAGATAGGATCAGATAGGAACTTATATCTCAAGGTGGGTGGCGCGTTTACGTTGTGGATGTCTATGGGCTCCAGTAACCACTTAACACCAGGTGGGCTGTGAGCTCGTCCACCCATCTAAGCAATAAAAAAAATAAAAAAAAGGATTACTATGATAGTACAAATATAAGGATTTATAATTTCAAATTATTATTTAACAGGAACATAGATAAAGCTGTATATATATCAGAATTAGAACATGAAAGAAGAGCTTTGATAGAAGTAGGAAATGGAACACGGATGGAGACGAGATGATTATAGAAGGAAAAAACGTCATTCAAAGGGCAGACAAAGAAAATATGATTAAGATCACCAACATCCCCACAAGCACAATAGATTTACTTACTATTATGTGGATTTATTATCAATATATTAAGTGTATAATCTATGCTTATTATCTATGGTGCTAATATCGTCTTTGACAAATGGACTTTTTGGCGGGAACGCGAGGAGTGAAGTTGTGTGATTTGTTTTATTTTGTCTATTTAGTGTTTCTTCGGGTTTAAATGTGTAATAATGGTGGTTTATTAACTATTTAATATCTGTGAAAGTGCACAAATGTGGAAAAATGAAATAAAGCCGCTGGACGTAACTACTCGCGATCCTGCAAAAAGTCCACTAAAAAAATCTTACCTAGTAAATGACCACCATTTTACTGAGATTATATTTCATCCCATATCATCTCATTTCATTTCATTTAATTTAATCCCAGTTGATTAATGTCTCAAATTAATCATCTTCATTTCATTAAACTCCAAAATATCATTTTTCATAAAAATATGAATATAAATTAAAATAAGACATGACTTAAAGGTCTCAGTTACCAGGTCACAAAATCCCTTAAAACCATTTTTTTTGTTGAAATATTGTTGAAGTTCTCAATATTTTTTTGATCTACATAAGAAATAATTAAACAGTATAAACGCACTTGTTAACAAAACGCTAGTAAGTACGGCCATTGCCAGCTGACTGACAAAACCGGCGCATGCGCAATGTAGGCTTGAGGTGATGGTTTGCTTGTTAGATATAAAATAATTAATAATTGGGAATTTAATTGTTTTTATGATCGAACAATCACCAATAGTTGTCGAACAAATGATAATTGATCATAATTAATTAACCTGAGTGTTAAAAATAAAAATATCTATTAAAGGAGCCTAACTTAAAGGTGATCCTTTGTTTAATTAATTATAAATAAGCGAAATCGAACAAACAATTTTTACATTCAAACATTAAAGAACAAATGACGAACAAATAATTAAAAATAAAAAAATTCCAAAATCAAAAAAAGGGGGCCAAATTCAATGAGCCCTTGAATAAGTGCTCGAATGACAAGAAAGCAATAGTAGTTCTATTTTTCCAACCAGAAAGACAAGGGTATCATACCATACAGCTTAATCTTATATATATTTTTTTTGTGAAAAATGATGATATATTATGGAGTGAAATGAAGTTGATTAGTTTGAAACATTAATCAATGCCATGAAATTAAATGAAATAAAATTAGATCAGATGATACGGGATGAAATATAACCTCAGTAAAATTGTGGTTATTTACCGGGATTTTTTCAATGAACTTTTTGAAGGATCTCAAAAAGCTACGTCCAGCGGGTTTGTTTCATTTTCCCACATTCTTGTGCACTTCCACAGAAACTAATTTGTAGCTGTCATAAGGGGGGGGGGGGGGGCTAGAACCGAAGATCGGGTTCAGTGGCGAGCTTTGGGGGAGGCCTATGTCCAGCAGTGAACTGCCGCAGGCTGATGATGATGATGATGACAGATTAAACAGGTAATAAACCACCGTTATTACACATTTAAACCTGAAGTAACATTTATAAGAACTGTTATAAACACGAATATAAAATACGAAAATAAAACAATTCACGCAACTTCGCTCCTCGCTTCCCGCCAAAAAGTCCTCGCACGATTTAAAACATTATACTATTTCCATTTCTTTATTTTCTCGATGACAGTTCTAATTTGATAGTTGTACTGTTGTGACCAAATAAGTAATTATATCGATCGCATATATTTATTATGTTTTGAACAAAGACAAATACAACAAAAACATTCAAATATATTTTTTTAAGCTGGGAACACTCAATGGTCCACCACCATTTTGTGTTTGTTTTAATCTGTCACTCGCAACAAGACGGTCGTGCTATATAGTCACTACATTTCTGTTCGCTGAGTTTTTTCACATTATCCATACGTTATGTTGTGTATTTTGTGTTCCTCCGTGTTGATTGCTGTCCAACTGTCAAATATAAAAATGCCTAAAGGATCTGTTCTGA